AGAAAAAGTGTTATTAATTAGAGCTACATTCAAAAAGTTCAGATTAAATTTACTTTTAGAAAAAGGCCCGGCATGGCCAGGTGGTTAAGGCACTCGTCTCCCAATCTGAGGGTCGCGGGTTCGAATCCCTCTCCCACCAAAACATGCTCGCCCTTTCAGCCGTGGGGGCGTTATAATGTGACGGTCAATCCCACTATTCGTTGGTAAAAGAGTAGCCCAAGAGTTGGCGGTGGGTGGTGATGACTAGCTGCCTTCCCTCTAGTCTTACACTGCTAAATTAGGGACGGCTAGCACAGATAGCCCTCGTGTAGCTTTGCGCGAAATTCAAAACAAACAAGTATATGGTGTCTATTATCAGCGAAATATACTTTGATCTAGTTTCTATTTTATTTTGTTTCCCGTGGAGTTCCGTATAGGCCTAATTTATGTGTAAACAATATTAAATTGGAACAGATTTATTTCGAATGACTTGTTAGCTTAAATAATGATTTTGAAAGAATAATTCTTTACGAATTAAAATGTTTTTTCTTCTTTTCCAAAAAGCATGACCAGGTGGTTAAGGCACTCGACTCCCAATCTGAGGGTCGCGGGTTCGAATCCCTCTCCCACCAAAACATGCTCGCCCTTTCAGCCGTGGGGGCGTTATAATGTGACGGTCAATCCCACTATTCGTTGGTAAAAGAGTAGCCCAAGAGTTGGCGGTGGGTGGTGATGACTAGCTGCCTTCCCTCTAATCTTACACTGCTAAATTAGGGACGGCTAACGCAGATAGCCCTCGTGTAGCTTTGCGCGAAATTCAAAAACAAACAAACAAACAAATCTTTTCCAAAAAATGGAGTGTTAGTTTAATCGCCATTCTTCCTCTTTAAGAAAGAAACAAAACAGATTCTGAAAATTCTGTGATACCTACTATAATTACGACTGTGCTATTTTGTCAGTTATCTTAAGAAAATTTCCTTGCAATAATTAGTTAAGGTACGTTTGTTTGTTTTAGAGCATTGAGCTATCTGCTGTGTCCACTGTTGGGAATCGAACTTCGAATTTTAGCATTGTAAGTCCGTAAACTTACCGCTGTCCCACCGGAAAACAAGTGCGTAAGGAAATTTGCTTAAAAAATTGGGGAAAAATGTACCAAAGTGAGAGACTGACGAATTTACGATACTCACAATACCAAGATCCTATTAAAATTGGGCTACTGTCTTCTCTTCTCCATGTCATGATGGGCTTAGGTTCACCGTAGGCTGTACATTTCAGACGTATATGTTCGCCCTCTTCCACCACCAGGGTTGTCTGCTGTTCTGTGTCTACCATTGCAGGAGGAACTGAGAGTAATAAGTTTTAGATTAACTGAAGTTATTAACACCTCTTATGATCAATAGAACATAAAACTGTTAACATACACATTCTGACATTGACCATCAGTTTAAATACTGGTATTGAAATATTAGCCTTTATTCTAATCTTAGACTCTAACGTGTATTCTACTATTGATTACTTCATACTTCTAACAATTACAATGCTGTTGCTTCCGGCTGTTAACACACAGTAAAGGAAATAATTAAGGAAACGGTGAAGAAAAGGGGATAAAAAGCAAACCTTAGCAACACAGATGTGGACTGACTCAAGAACAGTATGATACACATTAGCACGAAGTGGTCTCATTGAACCCAAAAAAAAAAAACCCATTGAAAAGAGAGGTGGAAACCAAAAGGGTGAAATGGACAGTTACTACTAACTAAGCCTATCCTTCTACCAGTAACAGGGCTGTGACTTCAGTTGCAGTCGCTAACATAGAGTAATTTTAATAACCATGGAAACCGTGAGGAGAAAGAGTATATGTACCACGGGAATGCCCTAACTTTGTAGTTCTAACACTATTTTGTAAACTGTTACCAACAACTTACCTAGAATTATTGTCAGCCATTAATCCATAAACTACTGTTAACCGTTAGTCTAAACGCCGCTATAACCTACCGATCTATAAAATACTATCTATTACTAACCTATGTTCTAATAGATAGAGGCGAGTCGGTGTATTTTAATATTTATGTATCGTTTTGGGAAATTTTGTAACCACACCATTGACAAATACAAAATATAATCTATTTCTGCCGAGTATCGTAAATTATGTATGTATATATGATAATATCAGCATGTATACAAGATAAAATTATTTATGTATATAAGATAAGATAATATGATATCTATTTTATACATATGAACCTACTTAGTAGTTTTGTGTCTGTAGTTCCATTGATTTTCCAAGCCTTTATTCCTGGTATACCTGAGATTGTAGAAGAAAAAGACCATGTTTCCATCAACAGTTAAACAAAATTTATACTCGCCGAGATAAATCTATAGACCACATTGATCCAAAGTAATATCGATAACTTTTGAAGTTAAAGATAATTTGATCAATAAAATAAATGAGCTTACTGGGTATTACCGGAGTTCCGGAAGCTCTGAAGTTAAAGATGATTTGATCAACAAAATAAATTAGCTTACCGGGTATTCCCAGAGTTCGAGACACTCTGAAGTTAAAGATAATTTGATCAATAAAATAAATTAACTGACCGGGTATTCCCTGAGTTCGAGACGCTCTGAAGTTAAAGATAATTTGATCAAGAAAATAAATTAGCTTACCGGGTATTCCCAGAGTTCGAGACGCTCTGAAGTTAAAGATAATTTGATCAAGAAAATAAATTAGCTTACCGGGTATTCCCAGAGTTCCAGACGCTGTGAAGTTAAAGACAACTTGATCAATAAAATAAATTAACTTACCGGTATTCCCTGAGTTCGAGACGCTCCGAAGTTAAAGATAATTTGATCAATAAAATAAATTAGCTTACCGGGTATTCCCGGAGTTCCAGACACTCTGAAGTTAAAGATAATTTGATCAAAAAATAAATTAGCTTACCGGGTATTCCCGGAGTTCCAGACGCTCCCTTTCGTCCTCGTGGTCCAGGTAACCCTAGAAAAATATTTAACATCTATTATACTTTATTGAAAAGTTTAATTTGTTAAATTAACTACATCGTTAAAGTATATATATATATATATAAAGTATTAATATTTGACAAGATTTGAAGGAAAAATTAGTCCTAAGTCAAACTTAACAGTTTCTGGCGTATAGCACCTAATATTATCATCAAGGATTATTTAAACAGTGGGTTGTTCACAATACTGTCCGAGTAAATGCGATTTTGTTGTGCTCATTTCAAAACATTCTAGTGAGCGATCTTTGTGAGTTACATACACACACCTGTCATCGAGAGTACAATCTAATAATCCTGTTGGTAATAGCCAAATGTTCAGTTTATCTGATAATCGTCAAACCTACTAGCTCTATTGGTGATAATCAAAACCCATTAGCCCTTTTAGTAATCGTTAAGTCTGCCATTTCTATGGGCAGCCAGTAAGCATTCAATTCCTGCTTGTGATTGCAATATCTCTTATCGTCAAACATCCTCTTCCTGTGGATGATAGGCAAGCGTACCGTTAGCAACAGAGAAGTCTAACAGCTATGTTCATAATCGTCACATGCACTGGCTTTGTTAGTAGCTGTTTACAACAAACAGCAAACTCTGTTAGTGATCGGAAACGTGTTATCTATTACATGTAACGTTTCTGTTGTTTATGGTGTTTTATTTACAGGCATTGTCACTTGTCTCTAGACCATCAGTATCGTGCAAGATTTTTATACCAGTCGAACCTTTTCTGAGTGAAAAATAATTTATCGTATTTATAGAACACGCGGAAGAAACTTCGTTTTATAACGTTCTGCTGTAATGTCTTTCTTTGGGTGTATATGATTAACATAAAACCAGGAACGTTTTGTAATAAAGTTTGTTTTATGTCATGAGCACACCAGATCATTTTTTGAATATCAGGACAGTTGAGTCAAGCATGGTCTATCCATGTAGAGATAAGTTTTAGATAATGATTAGACAGTGGACACACACACATATGGACTGGTTTCAGAACAGGTGAATTAACAAGGTCTATCCCCGTAGAGTTAATTGGGGTAATGATGAGACGATCAACCATAGACAATGTAGACAAAACATATGGATAGTTTCAGAACAGATGAGATAGGCAAGGCTTGACCATGTAGAGATAAGCTTGGAGTAATGATGAGACGATCAACCATAGACAATGTAGACACACACACATATGTATTAGTTTCAGAACAGGTGAGATAACCAAGGTCTATCCATGTAGAGATAAGATTTAGGTAATGATGAGACAGTGGACACATACACATGGACTGGTTTCAGAACAGGTGAATTAACAAGGTCTATCCCCGTAGAGTTAATTGGGGTAATGATGAGACGATCAACCATAGACAATGTAGACACACACACATATGGATAGTTTCAGAACAGGTGAGATAGGCAAGGCTTGAACATGTAGAGATAAGCTTGGGGTAATGATGAGACGATCAACCATAGACAATGTAGACACACACACATATGGATAGTTTCAGAACAGGTGAGATAGGCAAGGCTTGACCATGGAGGGATAAGATTGGGATAATGAAGAGAAACATCAACAGATGACATAGAGAGACATTATTGGTTACAACTAATACAGACAGAAGACGACCAACTAAACAAAAAGTTACTAATTAGGAAATTAACAACGAGTAGTGTAAAGGTGTTTATCATGGATTTCCGTCAGGTGAAAACAGCCAAGAACTGCCCCCGTTAAAACTGGACAAGAAATACTACAGTTTGTACTTGCTACAAAGTATGACTTTTCATTCTCTCCTACAGAAGAGATACGATATGAATAAACATATATTTAACTTGTATAACGTTTGACCTTAATGTGTCTGAAATGAGGGAAATACTAACACGTATAATTTCGAAAATGAAATTGTCATTAGTTGGAATGAGAAAAAATATGTGATTTAAAATCATATGAGAGGCTGCTGCCATTCAAAATAAACTCATTTAGTTGCACTAGTAACACGAAGTAAAAAAAATCGGTTACATCTTCTCCGCAACTGTCCCGAGACTGTAGCATCTTCTCCGCAACTGTCCCGAAACTGTTACATCTTCTCCGCAACTGTCCCGAGACTGTTACATCTTCTCCGCAACTGTCCCGAAACTGTTACATCTTCTCCGCAACTGTCCCGAGACTGTAGCATCTTCTCCGCAACTGTCCCGAGACTGTTACATCTTCTCAGCAACTGTCCCGAGACTGTTACATCTTCTCCCTATGTCCGAGACTGCTACATCTTACTCCGCTAACCT